CAATTAAGAATTTATGAGGGTTCCGTAGACCTTGATTTAGACTTGTGGAATGCTTTAAAACCTCTATAAAACTTGTAATGTTACTTGGGTTCCCTACAAATCGATATTGGAAGGGACCATCAACAGGACAAAAAATAATCAAACGCCAATTTGTCGAAACTTTTGTAACGTGTGTATATTTTAAGCATCATAATTCTAGAATAAAAGTGAGCAGGGTGTCGACTACCTGAAAAAAAAACCTGGAAAGTCATTGAATGTCAGGGAATTCTATTTATGATCTGGAAAGTCAGGAAATGTCAGGGAATTTTAGTGTAGTAGGGAAACAATTATGTTGATCACATTGCAAAAAATCATGTGTGGGACACATAAAAATTATCTTTGAAATTGTATCAGTGCATGACGTCAAAGTTTTTGGGAAGATCCCGGGCATCAGATCTACTCGCTGCGTTTATGGACGCCCTTACCGGTATCTCTTCGAACAAGCTGCTGCAAGTATCCATGGATGGGCCCAATGTGAATTGAAGCTAGAGGTACAAAAAGGTGGCGAGAAGCTGATAGATCTGGGAAGCTGTGGGTTGTATATTTTGCATAATGCATTCAAGGATAGTGTTCGTAGTATCAGTTGGGATGTTGTCAAATATTTGCGTGGTATCTACAATATCTTCGAAGATGTACCAGTAAGACGACCGTTTATCACGATGTATTCTGGATCTACCATATTCCCGTTAAAGTATTGCGGTCACCAATGGTTAGAAAATAGTGCTGCTGCAATCAAAATTACTCCGCAAATACGAAAATTTATTCAAGGCGTGCAGAAAGACAAAATCGAACCAACGTCAGCTTCCTACAAAAATGTTAAAAACTGTTTGAATGTCTCGCTGCTGATGGCTAATAGTACGTTAAGACTACAGATTTATAACATGTTATAGCACTATCTTGATGGTGGTTTCTGTGTTGCAATTATTTGACAACCGTTATAACATGTTATAACTGAACGTGGTATTAAGCTAGCTTTCTTCAAATCAGTTGCTGTCGAAGTTGAGCCATTTCAATGCGAATTTCAGACGGACACAAATTCGTGTAAATTTAGGTGCTCTGAGAGTGACATATACGAGCTTAAATTTTGACATAAATTTGAGTCATAACAGACGCGAAATATAGCTTAATCAAACGTAATTTTCGTCGAGCAATGAACTTTTCAGTCTCGCAGCACTTAACATTACATGGCATGTTTGTTTACGCCTCATCTTTTATGTCAAAGATGTATTCCATCACGTGTAAAATTAGCACATTTGATCAATATGATCGCAAAAAGGAACAATTGGACGTTTTTTGGCACAGGTTATTGGTCGGCGTATTCAGAACTATTGTTGGTTGTGATACAACGCCAATACAGAGAGAGGTTTTTCGGTAAATGCAGAATATCTTTTTGAAAACATGAGGGAAGAGTCAAGGCCCAAGCGCAATGACAGCGAAACGGCAGTGGTAGCGGCAAAGCCCGATCTTAGTAGCCTATTTGTCGGATTGAAAACTAGTTAGAATCAAATCAACTGCGGTAAGGCATCTTGATGTCATTTGTGACAATTGTCAAGCTTGCCGTTTCCGTTCCGCTTCCGTCCACATTGTGTCAGTCGTAGCGCGACGTCAGATCTCATGCAGGCGGGTTGTAAAACTTACAAATTTTGAATGAACTTATCCAGCGAGTTTGAAAAATCGCATCCGCTTTCCATGTAGACAAGGATCGTCGTATGAAAGAAGCTCTCGATTCCGAGAGCTCAAGATGCTCAAAAAGAAGCCGAGAGTTTGCACTGAGAGAATAAAATTTTAATGATAATTAAACTTAAATTATTTTGCCATGTATGCGGTTGTCATATGGAGTTCCAGAGAGTACGAAACTGACTAATGCATGAGCAGTTCGTTTGCCAAAGCAAGAATAATCACTGTTCTGCTATTTTACAATAATTTATATGTTAAGAGAAAGGATCGTCTACGGGTTGATTTCTATTTGTCTGTGAAATTATGAACACAAATTGAGAGCTTGGCGACATTGATTAAATATTCCTATTATTACTTAGTAATGAATAGTGAGCCTAGTTGTGAGCAGTAGTTATTCATTATTATACTATAGTATGTATTTATAGCTATAGGCCTATTCACATCCTTCGTAGGTAGTCGGTCATATGTTCTGTAAAAATTGTATTAGTATCAAGTTCTGTTGTACGTGCCATGAGTATGCTATTCTTGATATTTTCGAAAGCTTACCCTGCTGCTCATTTTAAACTAACCTTAATTTACACTACGGTATAATAAAGCACATCACGTTGTAGCTTCTTAGGTTAAAATAACGAAGTTTTGATGACTGGAATTTTTCTGAAAACCGACTAGAAAAACAGAGAAAGTCAGGGAATTCTATTTTCGACTTTGAGTCGACACCCTGGTGAGTTAGTACGTTGTTTTGTAAGAAATCGTATCTTCATCCCGATAAAATGAAACGGATGAAAGATTTCCTCGATCATTTTACTCATCTCACCGACCGATTGGTACTGGATTTTCATCAGCAGTTTGGTAGAGGCATAGAGGTAGCTCTAAGACCAGAAGGTCCCGAAAAAACGTGCTCAACTTTTTGGCTCAGCTCTGGTACTCTCTTCGGTCCTCGAAACATTGGAAAATCCACGAATCCCTTATTTCATCTGTCAACTGTAAAAAAAAACAGTTTTTTTTTATTCGAAAGTACATGGAACTGTGATAAAAGATATAATTTAAGGATGTGACATAAACATGAACCCGGCCGTAAATGTGTAAATCTGTGAAACTGATCCCAGAGCTTCGCAGATCTGGAACTGTGATATAAGAAAGAATTTTGGGCCGTCCTCTGGAAGATCCTGAAAATCCGTAAAAGTTGCAAATCTATTAAACTGATCCTAGATCAGCAGTTTTTTTTTTTTCAAAAATATTAGGAGCTGTGATATAAGAATGCATTTGGGGCTGTGACATAAACATGGCCCGGATGGCTTTGGCATCTGCCAATCAACGATCTTGTTTATACGAAATTCATCCACATTTGTGAACACAAAGTGTTCAGCATCAGCTAGATCGAAGTCGGCTGCGCTTGAAGACTGACGTGGGAATTTTTGCTGCGTGTTTTTCTTCCGCTGAATTATAAATTTTTAATTTAATGCTGTAATGCTTGTAAAGTTTCGTGAAGCTTTTAAACCAATGTTGAAACGTGCATAACAGAAACGCGAGTGAATTGTGTGCAAGATGAGTGAGATTCAAAGCTCTTGCCGGTAGCATTAGCAGGTGGCTTGTGGGGCACGAATCAGAGGGTTGCCGATATGAATGTTTCGTTCTATTCTGCTAAGTTTCCCGAAATTGACGAGTGCACGGATGGATTTGAGTTCACTCACTCGACAAAAAGTGACACAACAGCGGGGCCCTGTTTACTAAAAATGAACACATATGTGTTCATTTTTAGTAAACAGGGCCCCGCTGTTGTGTCACTTTTTGTCGAGTGAGTGAACTCAAATCCATCCATGCACTCGTCAATGTGCAGCCACTGGGGATCGTCAAAAGCCTGGAGTATGGGGATTTGAAAAGTTCATCAATTCAACATGACGGAAGAAGCAAACAAAGATATGTTTAGTTCATTTGATGTTCACCCAAGCAACCATAGGCACGTTATTTCGCTTTTTTGTTTATGTCATGACCCCAAATAATTTCTTATGTCACGTTCCACGTGTTTTCGAAAAAAAAAATGGATGTTTTATGGAGTTTTATGGATGGACCACTTTTACGAATGTTCTGGATCTTCCGGTCTTATGGTCAACCGGGTTCGTGTTTATGTCATGACCCCAAATTCTTTCTTACAACTCAGTTTCAAGTATTTTCGAAAAAAAAACCGGAGCTCTAGGATCTAGGATTTCATAGATTGACCACTTTTACGGACGTTCCGGATCTCCTGGAGAACCGCTCAGTTGTCTCCAGGATTCATATGTAGGAACCATGATTGTATTCTGGCTAATTAGCAAAACCCATATACACACCTTTTAAAAAACGTGAAACGACACTTTTCACTTTCAAAAAAAGTAGGCAACTCTATTTTCAATCTTTTAACGATCAAAATAATCTACAGACCCTAGGAATTCTAGAGATACCACCATTTTTGAAATTCATCAAGAAATGGCTAAGTTATGTCATTGCAAACTTGCCGTTACACGCTTTTCGGAGGCTACATAGTCGGAGTAAAGTTTTTTACCCACCGTATTCGGAGTGTTAAGGCGCTTCAAACCATCCACCAAGTAGACTTTTCCATAATTAACCGATAGCTACCTGTTGGACATTATCCTTGGTAACATGTCATCGGACATAGGAATACGTTGACATCTGCTACACTTCGCTGCAGTAATAGATTCATTCAACTTTCATTATCGATTCATTTGAAAATGGAATCACTTATTTGAGAAACCGCATAAGTCCATTGTGATAAAAATGCGAACCGCGACGGTTTCTCGCATCCAACTATTCTGCTATTAAAGGAATGGTGCATTAAGTACTAAAAGGTCGGTTTGGATAAAAATGTGACTTGTGTGGTTTCTCAAATAAATGATTCAACTGGAAATTCACCCTATCTAACCTGACAGGGCCAAAGACCCGTGAGACCGTTCCTACCGTTCATTAGAAAGAAAGCATCGTCGTCAGTGAGACTGAACGTTTCATTCTTTATCAGCAACAGTTGGCTGAATCACCCTTCTCGGCGTCTCAACAGGCAATTGTTAACGAACCACGCCCCCGCTCGTCAACAGGTGAATTATCGAATCTAATCACTAAAGCAACAATCGACGATCGGTTCGTTTTCCCCCTTCTCCCGTAGCCCCGTCGCGCATGCATTACGATTTCGGTTGACAAACTCGTGCAATTAGTGCGTTTTGTAATAAAAGCGTTGACCCGAATCGAAACAGATACTAAAAAATGTTTTATTCTGGAAACTAGTCGTTTATTTGTTCTTCAAACTCAAAAAGGAAAGCAGCTACACTTTCTATCGTTGCTACACTTACCACGCATAGCAAACGATTCACAGTGGAAAACGCACGGTTGGATAAGGATCTTGCTGAATCTGGGAGCACACAGCGCTCGTTTGTTTCGCAGATGGGATTGTGACAGATCCAAGTTCTGTTCCGGGTGAAGAACCACTTGAAAAAGTAAATAATTAGTTTGATGTAAATTTGCATTCCTTACCATGGGCACTCACGTTCTTTGTTCTCACTCGCAATTAACTTTTCTTCTGGTTGCGGTGGTCTTCCTTGCGACAGAGCAAAAATGGCCGACAAAAGAAGCAACCACATGGCGACTGATTTCAATGATTGCATTGTTGATTTGTCTACTCGAAAGCGAATGCTGGAACTATTGGACACTCGTTCTCTTTTATATCACTGGACTTCAGAGAGCAAACATATCGATCTATAATACTATCACTATCGGGCAATAAGGAGACTTAGGGCAAACGAATGAGATTCACATGTCAAGGTAACTAAACAAGCCTTTCTTATCTATCCTTAAACTTACTTTCTTTCCAGTTTGATTAAATTACCAGTTGCAATCGAATTGATCAGATAATCAGACGACCTTTACCCCATCATTCCTTTCTTCCTAGGGGAATCCCACATACACAGACGGACTTCTGAAGAAAGAATCCAGAGGTGTTTTGTTTTCTAACCTCATTGAGCAAACTGCCTTGTGGGGTTCCCAAACAGTTTCGAACTGTTGTTCGAAAGGGATCACCGCCTTCAACTAAAGCCCTATAGTAAAAGGACGGAGGACTGTCACCACAAAATTTAAAAAAAAAAACAAAGTTGTTCCAATCGAGCAAAGCAGAACAACTTTTGACACACGTCCATACTTTTACTTAGAGGACTTTACCTTCAACGTGAGGCGAATTATGATTTCACTTGTCTTTGTCAACATTGACGTAACGTAAGGCCGCTATTCAGCGCTCACTGCATACATATTATCATTATTTACATGCAATTACAACAAATACAGTATAATACCCTGGGCTTTGGCAAAACCTTGAGGTAGTTTAATTAGGCTACCAGGTCCCAGGGCTGATCTGGATCTTTACCACATTGGAAAGATGCACACTAGTGTTGCCAGATCAGTGTTGATGCTTACCAAAAGTGCATTTGAACCCGCTTATAAAAGCATATTAACAGATTAATCATCATCGTACATTGTCTATTGCTCTGTACTAATAATAAATGATTAAGCACAGCATTTGATATTTTAGTAGGAATGCTGGATTTAGTCACAGTAGAAATCAGCTACGCTTTTTTTTCAATAAATCCTTTAAGTAGGTATTTCAAGAATGTCGGGTGAGACAAATCTAATTGTATTTAATCTTATTTTTGTGTAGTAGGATATTCAATTGAACCGCTCCGGGATATTATGATGCTGTATGATCTTCCAAGCATTTTTCCTAAATTTTGGGATACAAGGGTTCAAAAATTATGAAATCATAAAACAAGATTTACGGGTATTGCAAAACATGGTCCTCTGTACGTTTACTTTCCAACTTTTACTAATACTACTGTTACTCCGATTATCCCCTACTTGAAACACTATTCCTCCCTATCCGGCATCTTATAGTACGTTCAGACTACAGAGTTATAACATGTTATAGCGCTATCTTGATGGTGCTTTCTGTGTTGCAATTATTTGACAACCGTTATAACATGTTATAACTCTCCAGTCTGGCCAGCGTTTTATAGTTGGTTCAGACTACAGAGTTATAACATGTTATAGCGCTATCTTGATGGTGGTTTCTGTGTTGCAATTATTTGACAACCGTTATAACATGTTATAACTGCTCAGTCTGGCCAGCGCTTTAAGCAGGATTCAATTGATCCCTGTGATTATTATTCTGTGGTACCAAATGTTTACCTCTACCCTTGTGCTGTATGGACAGTCATGTTTTACTGGAGACCTGGCGTTATGACCCCCTTCTGTGCTTAAAAAAGAAAATGAAAATGAAAATTACAACAAATACAGTATAATTACAATTAATACCATTATTGATCGTCATTTGATATAATGTGCAAGTTAAGAAAAAAAAATTATAAAAATAACCTTCTACGGATCTACGGCATTAGATTTGTTTTGACAGAAATTAGCTTGAACTTGCGTTGGAGTTATCCTCAAATTACATTTCTATGAACCTTGGAGTGGAAGTTCTGTGGATTTACTCTGAAACTAATTTGAAGTTCGAAGTCTGTCTTGCGACAGATTAGTAAGACGAAAGCAAATGTGTATTCGGCTGGTGATCTCTTTTGGTAGCCCTGCAGATAGCATCTATTTACCAATGTCGGGATTTTGTAAAGTTTTGGGTTTTTTCGACTTATGGATCTCCCACAGGGGGCCTCAGATAGTCTGTAGTCAGTAAAGGCACGGTATCACCAAACTGGAGGCGTCCCGATCCGGTAGAGGAAATATTTCGGGATGGACATTTTCTCGACTTCCCGGACATAGAGTATCATTGTGCTTGCCACCAGTGTCTGTTTTTTATCATTTACCATCCCACGCAAGAAGTAGTGCTTCAACCCAGTGTGGTTAACGAATGCACGCTTGTTGATATTCACCAATGCTTGATTATCCAACCCAAAAATCGGTCCTAAAAAGCAAAATAATCAAATTAATTTTGGGCAAAATGGTTATTTTGCAAGGGGTAATCAACTCTGCACACTGTACCGAAACACATCGTAGCACACTGGTCGGCACGTTAGGGCACACGATGACAAGTATGACACAGAATCTATATATATAAAAATGAATTTCTGTCTGTCTATCTGTCTGTCTGACCCTTAAAGACTTGGAAACTACTGAACCGATCTGCGTGAAAATTTGTGCAGGGAAAGGTTCTTATGATGGTTCGAGACCCCTCCCCCCTCTGTAAGGGTGGGTGGTGGGGGACTCCCATACATATGAAACAGAAATTTCTTCATAACTCATAATTCAGAACTAATCAAGTAAATTGAACCAAATTTGGCATGTGGAGGTCATAGTGGGGCAGCCCCTTAGATAAGAGTGGTGAGGGGGGGCGGGCTACGCACAATATAGCAAGCTTTTTTTTTAATTGGCGCATAAACTCAAGTTAATATTGAATCCCGAGCAAGGCCGGGAACACTCAACTAGTATAATATAAAACAGCATCACTGCTTTGTGTTGACATTTTGCCAAGCGTTACTAAGGTTTACTACTTTGTTTACTTCAAAATAAGGGGGAAGTTTTCTTTTTCAGTTTAATCTTTTTTTGTCGATTTTCCAGCGAGGTTGTCTCAAATCATAATAAAAGATCGCACAACTGACGAGACTCTCCGAGCCCTGATGATGAACCTCTATAGAAAGTCTACAGGGTATTTGACGGATGTCCATAGTTTCGAAAGGATCTATGTTTTCGGGGAAACCCAAACAAATTAGTCAGAGCCCCATGCCGCGTAGAATAGGCCTGCTTACCCCCAGATACCCATAGGATCCGAACCGAATGCAAATTGTACAGGTAAAGAGAATTGAAGAATCCAGTTCAAATCGCAGCCATTCTGTAGATGCATCTGCAACCACAGCAGTTACCTTCGAAGAACCGCTCGGTACAATTGATGGTCTACCAATCAGCTAATTCTATGGACTGAACCATCTCGGAGTTTCGATTGACTGTGGAGGATGGTGGAGTTCGTGGATCCCGTATTAGCAACATTAAGAAGGATTCTACTTGCAGCTTTTAAAGGTAAACACACCGGCATTTGTTAACAGATTTTCACTCAATTGTTGAAATTAGGTTTCATTTAAAGTAATTGATAGGGAAGGATCATAGTTTGCTAGAGACATGCAAAGAGTAGTTAAATCTTAACTTTTGAATCAACACCATTGAATATTTAAACTCAAAGTACGAGATATGTAGCAAGCATTTCTCACTTCATTTTGGGAACGCAAAAACAAATACAGCTGATTACTAGAACTTAAAGCTACTTTTTTACGTATCTATAATAAGCTTAAACCTTATTCTATAGACTGCTTCAAAAAGAACTATGTTTCGTCTACTGCAAAGTTATTAGCAAATGAGCAGCTCGCGACGAAAAATGTGATCGGAACCGCCAGCTGTTTCAGGGCTATAAATATGCAATTCCGGCTTGACGAAGGATGAAAAATATGAATGAATAACTACCAGATTGAAAGCGGATCAAACATTGGCAACCGGTATCAAGATCCTGCACCAGCAGTAGGATGCTGTTGGATATTAGTCGATGGAAGATGTGGATGAATGGATTAAAAGTACGATGTTGAGTGCGATGAGAAATACGAAGAGAAGCAACACTATTAAATTTTAAATTCGTTAAGGAACTTCACAGCGGTTTGGGCCTCCTGTTTATTTAGTAGGATATTCAAAAGTTCAAAGTTATGGAAATTTGCAGTCGTTTGACTATCTCACCAAAAATTGTATAGCTCAGTTAGACGAACTCAGTACCCAAACAGCGACTGCTGACATTAGGAAGCTACTGAAGGTCTATTGCTGCTTCTACTATTGCCAGTGGAAATATTAGGTAGAATCCTTCCTGATTACCCTAGTAGCATGATGATAATGTAGAGGCACATCTTACACTTGCCGGTTGAGTACTTATGACACAGGATTCGGTGAACGTCTGCCAGAATGACACCCGGTACAGAACTTTCTTCTCATCAGGCTTGCTTAAACTCCTCAAACTCACTGGAGGTTTTAAAACACTTTTGTCTTGCGAGTTTAGACCTCGAGTGAGTGGCGGCAGGAATATGGAAGAAGTAAACAAAAACTCCTCGAGAGAGAGGGAGAGTGAACTTCAGTGAGAGGATGATTTGACGTGAGATGCGCTTTTCGATACTCCGGCTGACTTTTTTGTTCGACGCAAGAAGTTCAGAGTTCACCCAGCCAAGAGTGAGAGTAAAGGCCGGCGCACAATGCATACGTTTTCGGGTTTTTTGACAGATAATGCACCACAGACAAACAGACATAACGCATTGAATATTTATCATTGTAAAACATCGTCGCTAAAACATTACCGCCATCTGTTGAGTACACTGTGGTGGGTAGTAAGCTGAACAGATGGCGGTAGTATGTAAACGTCAAACGCAAGGGAATTGACTACACGTGCCACAGGTGGCGGTACTACCAACTACGATACTTTTAAATTGACCGTTAAATGCTTGTTCGATGAACAACTTGCGAGTGTTATGTCTGTTTGTCTGTGGGCTAACTGTCAAAAAACCTGAAAACGTATCTATTGTGCGCCGGCCTTAAGAGCATGTGATAGAAAATATGAACATGAATAGGAGCAAACCTCAATCTCATTTTATCCCCCTTCGCTAACAAGCTCTGAAGCTCAGTGGAATGATTTTGTAGTAGGGAAATTGCTACGCTCGGCTCATTTCAAACTCGCGAATGAGGCTCCATCAAGCCTGCTTTTCATGGATGGACAACTTCTACCATCAGTTACCATTATCCTTCTCGTGGAGCGGCGCACTAGTAAAAATCCACACATAACTAATAGAAAATTTCTATAAAATATTAAGCATACTATTCATTTGACCACACATAATTAGATATCATGGAACAAAACACATACATATTATCGTCCGGACTTCAAACCCATCAAAGATCTTCCGGTTAGGAAGGCAAAGAACAAATCAAGCAGACATATTATCTTCGTCGACTTTCTCTTTGCATTCTCATGGCCATGTTAACACCGAAAAACCGACATGACACTTAATTCTGACTTATGCCCGAAAATCGTAAACGGCCGATTTAAATGTGCAGTGATCCGAACTGTCAAAACCATAGGATTTTTTTATTTAGATAAAAATAATTCGTCCAGAATAGATCAGACACGAACCAATTTATAACTTTTGCATGCGGGTTCATGGCTTCGCTAAATATTTCCCACGAACACGCACTCAGATGTTAGTAGTGTGCTTTGGTCAGAAATATTATTGTTTTTTGTATGGTCATTAATTTCGGTTTGTCGGTGATGTTAAGACCAAGTACATGATCATCATTAGACGTGATCAATTTCACAAGACCGCTACCAATCACTCGATATCATCAGCGCTGTTCATAAAACAGATGGAGACGAACAACAAATTCTACACCTGGGCCGCTATGGACTTATCCAACAAGAAACCGAAGAACACACTTATGTATTGATGTTCTACTTTTAAAGAGACTGCCGTCGACGGCCGCAGCAAATAACGGTGGTGTATCGCAGAGACGGGACCGTATCACGATCATCCGGATGGCACAGCAGAAGCACCAAAAGAGGATGGATGGATGTTCACCGTCAGTAGCACGGCACAGTAGTAATTCAGAGCTCGGTTCGCAGTTTCATCCAGTGGCAGTTTGCCAAGCCATGGGATTGCAGGATTTGCCGGATTTTGAGTATTTGGTCAGGCAGATCGAGTTTTTCCACCGTATCAAGCCGGACAAGCATTCGCCCTTGGTAAGTGGAGGGCAGCTAGGCAGCAGTAGGTTCCGTTCACGTTCACAGTTGATGAGGGTTGAACGAAGGTTATTGGCGTTGACGGCGACTCTGTAGCCTTTTACTCCTATGAGAAAATCCATAAGGAAACATCAGACTGTGCGTGAAACATGGCAGACTTTGTACAATCCTTTCACTCCACCGAAAATTCCCATAAGACACTGTCTATATTTGCTGGAAGAGAAAATTTTTCGTCGGTGCCGTCAGCGCCAATTAAGCAGAGATGATGCAGGATAATCAAATCAATCAATTTAATGTCGTTTTCGGTTATTTCTAGTGCGAAACTAGTTCCGCCCTAGATCCGCCCTAACAGCTGTCAAAACGTTTCTTTATTCGAGTGGGTTGGATCCAGATCCGCCCTGGGTCTGACTCAAACTTGAAGAGGTTCGCTCTGTCGATTTTTTGAGATCCAACCTGGGTTCACCAATACACACAAACGCTAGCTGTCAAAATCAAATGTTGTTTACATTATTCACCATTCGCGAATGTAATCGAATGTTAAACGGATTGATAATCAGCATAGAAAAATTGAGGTAAGTGTTGTGATAAGATTGTTTAATTGTATTTAATTCGTACGTTTTCGTTACAGAACATGGAATTTATTGAAATGTTATTATCATCATCGTCAAGTTCGTCTGATGATGACTCCGACACCGAGATCTTGTTCAGTAATCTTGATTCCTCAGATGGCCCACAAAGGAAAAAAATAAGGATCTACAATTTCGTTGAAGATTTTGTGGATAACTACAGCGATGAGCAGGTAATTACCTTCATATTATATGTGTAAAATTAGTTTGGTTTTAATAGGAGGCCTTCGGGGTTCCGGAAGTTTTCACGACAGACAAGGCAACAGTGGCCTCATCATTATTGTGCACCAGCTACCACATAGTGGTCATGTATTTATTACCGGTTTTTATTGGAATTGCTGTCTCAGGCCGAGTGACATTATTAATTACCATCGGCAATCGAAAGAAATTACAATCACCCCAGTATTATGGGCCAGCTAGACAATATTATGGGTCAGTCATTTCTGCGTGTTAATCAAATGGAAGTGGCCCATAATACTGGGGTGACTGTAATATTATCCCGGATTCAAATAGGCCACCCAAAACCAACCATAAATTGAACCAATATAATGTGCAAGTAAGCTTTACACTGAGATTTCTTAAATTTATTGTGCCTTATTTGTACCTGCTGCAAGTTTAAACTGACGATTAACATGTTGGAAGAGGCGTATGTCTCATCACGTCAATCTGTACAACAATTAATAATAAGACGGAATTAATAAATACCGGAACATTATATTTTTGCATTGCATCGATATTTTTCCTGATTTTCCAGAATAAACTCTGCTGCGATTTTAAATTTCCTATTTATTCCCCATTTGTGACTAATAATTGGCCTTCGTCTTTTTTCTACATGCAATAGTCATCCTCAATAGTCATAGTTCTCTTGGAAGTAAATCTGGCGGAAATCTTCGACTTCCAAGGTAAATCCGTTCGTTTTGACGATTGCGAGGAAAATTCCAGGTTCAATTCTAATGAGTATCCCAAATAAGTTCAGACAATTCATAGTGATTTCTGAAGGAGAAGGAGGAGGAGAGGAGGAGGGATTCTGAGGAAAGCTTCAAGGAATTCTGAGGATAAATCCAAGGCATTCTGAAGAGGAGGGAAATATTGGAAGTTTCCAAGGGCAATCGCAGAGGAGAATTCCAAGATAGTACTGTGCAGAATTTCAAAGCATATCTGAAATGAATTGCATGCGAAGTTTAAGTAGAATTATGAAAGGAAACTTCTGTGAATTTTTTTGGCTATTCTAAAAAATTCGAAAATTTTGTCGACTGTTATTAAGAAAATTTCAAAGGAATACCATTGAAAATTTTAAGATTATTTTAGTTTTAGTGGTATTCTAAAAAGAACTCTTAGAAGGGGAATGATTCTAATGAACTTGAGAACATTCCGAAGATATTCTGTAAAGTGTTCCGAGCGATTTATCAAGGTAACAAGCAAAAAAAAATTAGCATAGACAAATTTTGAAGATTGGGCTGAAATGGTCTGAAGTCATCAAAAAAGGAATTCTTGTTTAGATTCACGCATATAGACTCATTAAAGTACACATGGTAGAAAAATGTTCCGGAAATCCTTGGGGTACTAAAGCAGGGTGCCTACTACATAAAAACTAGGAATCCTCACGGAATTTCATTTTTCCTGGAAAACCTGGAATATTCAGGGAATTTTCAAAATTACAATCGAATACAACATATCAAAATGTAGGCAGCTTGTCCTAACCCGATTATCTATTTTTCCATGTATTTTCACCTCAACGCAATCGAATTGAAATCATTGACGTTATATGAAAACGGAGCAGCAACTTCCCTCAAAGTTGTTCCCTTCTAGTCCCCTCATCTTGGGGTTCTGTAATTTTCTCTATAACATTCTAACAACAGAAAACGCTAGTATTTGTTCAGCAATTCTCTTCAAATTCTTAATAATTATTAGAATCCGCTTTAATTTCTCTCCATAATTATCTTGCAAACATTCTCTTGCAAATTTGTTGACAAGCCTCTTGGTATACATAAAAGAACTACGTGTGAATATTTCTCAGAATTGCCTTGGGATACTTCTAGGAATTCCTTTAAAGCAGGGCTGCTAGCGAGTCACTTTTTAGTGACTTTGTAACTTTTTTCAAGCCAGTCACTAAAGTCGATGAAAAACTTAATTGAAGGATTTATTATTGAAACATTAAAATTTTGATTAAACTGAAATAATTTAAAATTGTTGAATATCAAAAAAATAGATATTGATAAAATGGAGCATAGTAAAAAAAAAAGTAAATCATAATAATTCATTACTCATAATAGCTATAAGTATTTAACCTGAATGAGTAATTAAAGAAAATGCTATTAATTTACGTAATGAAGTTTGATTTAATCCTCCTATGGCTCCAACAATTATTGATAAAATAAAAGAAGTTAAGATCAAATTATAAATTACATTTTATGAAATCAACAATAAAGGAAATTATTTTTTGTCAAGTTATTTAAATTAAACTATAAATTGAACTTAAGCCTTCTATTACTCATGGGAATTTGAAATGGAAAAGAGCACCTCCTCTTTTTAGTAATAGTTGATTAAATTAATAAATCATTAAAATTATTATTAACTATTCAATTTTTATTACAAATAATATTATTAAAATAATTGCAAATAATAAAATAGATGAAGCAAAAGCTTGAGTTAAGAAATATTTTAATCTACTTTCTGAGGTTATTAAAATTTTTTACCTTCATTTATTAGGGCAATAAATGAAAGTAAATTAACTTCTTATCCTATTTATGCTTCAAGAATTCAAGAATTTTAGGAAATTGCAATTAAAGAACCTGAAATTAATATACTAAGAAAATTATTTTTAATTTTATTTTAATTTTAAATAAAAAGAAAAGAATTTTAACCTACATAACTACAGTATGAACTCAATAACTTAATAAGCTAATCTTTTTATATTTTGGTGTAAGATGCACAAAAGTTTCTGAAGCTTTTGGAAATAGTTTAATTCTATTAAATATAATAATAAAAAAAGCATTAAACCTTTATGATTAACCCTATCAAGGTAATCCTATTTTTCAGGCAATTCCCTTTGTTTTTATCTGAATGAAAAAATATCTTTTAATCTAAATCAATCTTATTAAAAGAATATAATTTACTTAAAAAAATATAGATACATAAAAGTTTGTTTTATCAATGAATATATTTTTTAATTAATAAATATATATTTATATTTAATTAAAAATCAACATATTTAATATAAAAATTAAACTTTATTATTTAACTTACCTATATAAATAAATGAATACATAGATATTATATATATAATATAAATGATTTACAATATAATGTACATTACATCAATTTCCCCTATATATTTATTTATAAAATATTAATCTTTATATAAAATAAATTTATATTTATGTAAAAAATAAAGCTGCAAATTTCAAAACTTACGACTGGATGCCTCCCTTCAGATAGCAGCTTAAGTGCGGGTACAAATCGATAGAACTGTTTCATTACAGCGGAGGTATATGAGCAAATCGGTCCTCGTCTATTTTTGTGGTGGTAGTGGGGCCAATAACTCCTCACCATCCCTCTTCGACGGAAGAGCTTGGCAAAAATAGATGACGACCGATTCGTACCTTCCTCAATGTTCCTTGCTCGCTTTTTACTTTCTATATATAATTTTCATACTGCTGTACTCTAACGGAACTATCAATTCTATACTTTCATCTCCTCATCTATCGTATAAAAATGACCACTTTAGTCTGTTATTTGAAATTAGCATCTCAACTTTATAATAATAATACGTAATATAATAATTTATAGAAGAATAAAAAATTTTACTGGGGTGTTATTAAAATTTAAATAATTTTTTTTTTTTACTGATATTAATAAAGTTAGAAAGAAATAATAAATTAATAATAAAGTAATTGAATTAGTGAGAAAATGATATGTTTTATTTTATTCAATAAAATTTTCTGGTATAAAAAATTAGAAAAAAATACTTCATTCCTTCTTCTTCTTCTTCGCATTTCAAGCTTATTGCTTATCGCATATTAGCTTATTGCGTGCTCTCAACTTAGCGTCCTAGATGCACTTTCACAGTTATTAATTGAGAGCTTTCGATGCCAGTACCATTTTTGCATTAGTATAATTGTGTGGCAAGTACAATCATACTCTATGCCCAGGGAAGTCGAGAAATTTTCCAACCTGAAAAATTCCTAGACCGGACCGGGAATCGAACCCAGCCACCTCCAGCATGGTCTTGCTTTGTAACTGCGCCTTTACCGACTGAGCTAAGGGAGGCCCTTCATTCCACTATTATTAATAAAATGTTCAATGATTGATTAATCTATAAAAAATGAAAAAAAAAAATATATATAAAAGTTATAGCTTTTAAGATTGCTATAAAAGTTAATTTAAAAGATATTGACAATATTTCATTTGATGAAAGAGATTTAACATAAATACAAAAAAAACTAGTATTCCTCCTATAAAATTTAAAATACAGACTATGTTCCAGTCTATGTAGATCCAGAAAAACATATCACCTGAATTCCAGGACGATTTGGAGAACCTTAACCATCCGGTGTACTTGACTATAGGTCATGCCTTATCCACATAGACACTATGCATCTGTTTGGACATATCTCAATACTACAGACATTGTCCCAGTATTGGTTGATCTATCAGAACATCGGGTGTACTTGAAAATGTATCGTAATTGATATTTATTTATTTTTTACTACGTGCTGTCCTTTCGGTTATTACTCCAAAGTTTTTAATGATTTGATCAATGATTATTACTCCAGGATAGTTTGAATGCCTAGTACATCCCAAAACAATTTTTTTTGCATGTTATTTACTTTTTTGAATCAAATTGTGATGAAAACAGTCGAAAAATCAGTGAACCGTATTCAATACGAGCAGAACAAAAATTCGTCCCGAAAGGACGATTTTCACCACCAGCCTTACTTAAACGTTGAAAATGAATTTATGAAAAAAAAGGTTGGTCCTGAACACGTTCTTAAAACTTTTGCTGAAGGCAACCGAAAAATGAAACTCGTTATATGTAAATGTAAAGTTTATTGAAGCCGGAAGCCTCAAAATAGCAACCTGAATATAGGATCATTTTTATAACACGTTTGAAATCGTTTAAATCAATAAACATAATGCAAATAGTTCAAATACATAGGATAAGGTAACCCCCCTCGTCATAGTACCGATGGTTTATGTCTTGGCAGCTAGAGTCATGACCCCCCCTCCCCCCATTATCTTCGATAACTGATAACTACCAAGCTTTATCATTCCAGACATAGGATTGATCCAGACACAGTATATTTTTTATGTCTAACGGTATTTTTTACATTGCAGTTTCGCCAACAATTCAGATTGAAAAGATGCACTGCGGAATTTATCATTGATAAATACAAGTCATCTACGTTCGGCCACGTCAACGAAGGTAAAGGCAGGAAAGGAATTACTCCCAAAAACCAAATATTAGCTTTTCTGTGGTAAGGATTCTTTAATGATACTTTCTTTGAACACATTTTCTAAAACACAATAATATATTACAGGTTCAGCGCAAATAAAAACTCGTATAGAGAAGTATGCACTTTGTTTGACATGGCAGAGTCAACGTTTTGCAACCATCTGAATTCAATATTAGATTTCTTCTATGACATCTCCAAACATATAATAAAATTTCCAGAAACCGAAGATGGAAAAGAACGAGTTGCAGCGAATTTTAAGAAGGTGGGTACTGTAATCAATCTATAATGCTGAATTCCAATTTGCCAGGTCCTCCAAATTTGATCCATACAGTATAGAACTTTGGATTAATCAAGCTATTGTGCTAAATCTAGTAAATGGTTCATAATATACTGCCAAGTAAATGAAACCTTGCACAATGGTCCAGAATGCGGATATAGGTGGAAGAATAAGGTTTTAGCCTAACCCTCATTTTTATGAATCCTAAAATGGTTCTTATTATAAATGAAATAAAAAATTTAGCTTTTTTGTTTGACGAATTAAAGGTATACATTTTTCGGCAAAGTTGTAGCTGAGCTAATTTAAAGCAACTTTGTAAAAAATATGTGTTCAAGTGTCTTTTAATAACTTTTAGATATTTTCAAGACGAACATTTTTGTAGCAGAGAGCTTGTTGACATCTTTCGCCGATCAAGAGTTATTGACGTTTTTCTAATAAAAATATTCCCTTTTCAAATGTTAATATCTCTGGTTGAGACAGTAAAAAAAGTTGTTTTACTTATATAGTTAATTTGAGTCTTAGAATCTAAATCTAAAAGTTATTTGTAGACACATTTGTGGAGAAATTTTAAATAATAAAAATAGAGCAAAACATTGTTTTTTTAGTAACACCCTAACGCAAATTAGAAAAATTGCTCAAATCGGTCAATTCAAGATATACCAAAAAGTACTTTTATACAAAGTTGCTTGAAGTTAGCTCAGCTACAACTTTGCCAAAGAATGTATATCTTTATTTCGTCAAACAAAAACGTTAAATTTTTGATTTCAATGATAATAAGAACCACCCTAGAATTTAGAGTCATAAAAATAAGGGCTATAAAGAACAGCTTTGTAGAAGACACTTTTTGTCACAGTTTCAATTTCAGGCTGAAAATATATCCTTCCACCTAAATTTACATTCTAGACCACTGTGCACTGGTTGTAGCCTTGTTCTTTCTGCAAATGAAAGTCTGCAATGATTGTTCCCAGTAGTTTTTAGCTGTAATAGTAGGGTAAGGTAGATTGCTCATTTACTTGATTCAGATACATTTGTAAAAGAAGTATATCCACCTTGATTTTTGAACACTTCTAATTGAAGCAGTCATAAGTGTCCAAAACACTTTTTTTAAATGTATAATTCGGCAATTTGGATCAGCGACTGTATATATATTTTAATATTTTAAATTTTGATACGTACTAAATTCTTTTTTTACAGATTTCCAAATTCGACAACGTTCTTGGATGTATAGACGGATCATATGTATCAATCCGTAAACCAGCCAAAAAAATCAAATCTACCTATGTAAACAGACACGACATGCTATCCATAACTCTTCAAGGTGTCTGTGATGCAAACAAGTCATTTATGGATATCTGCGTTGGATCTCCAAGCAAAATTCACGACTCACGAATTTTTACGTTATCACCACTCAGCGACGATTTACCGCAAATTTGCCACCAAAAATTTCATTTGCTTGGAGATGCCGCCTATCCTCTACGTGAGTACCTGCTAACACCATACAGAAATGATGGGAGGATGAACCAAAAAAAGCGAAAATATAATCTGAAACATGCTCAGACAAGAGTATTGATTGAAAATGCTTTCGGATTGTTGAAAACGCGATTTAGGCAGTTGATGCGGTTGGATTTTTTCTTTGTGGAGAGAATGTGCAAATTTGTAACTGCATGCTGCGTTCTGCACAACATATGTATCAGTTTCAATGACAATATTGAAGTTGATGCGGAGACAACTCAACATGAAAACAATCATGCTAGAGATGTTACTGACGTTGCACCTAATAATCCAGATATCCGCAATGCAGCCCTCAGAAGACTTGGAGAAATTAAGAGGAATAATATTGCAGATAGTTTCCAATAAAAATTTTATACTCTAGAAACTCACAATAAATAAAAATAAAAATAAAAATAAAAATGTATCCACTTATTATGAAACCTAACCCTATTTTATCACTGGAAACGATGGAATGTCTCAAAAATAGTTTTCAAAACAGAGTATAAATTACATGAAAAACATAAAAAAAAATTAAAACATTTGAGAAAATTCTTGTTTTACTACTTTACTACAGTTTACTTCAAATTCACGTAATTTTCAAAAGATTTTAAACTTTTAAGGACAAATTCACTTCACATTCAAGTGCTTCCAAACTTTTCAGTTCGAAGTCACTTAATTTCCAAGCGATTATAAAAGGTTTATAAATGATTCACTTTATATTCAAACTACTCCAAACTTTTCAGGCTTGGTTCAAGCGATTACTAACTTTTCAGCACAATTTCATTTCATCCCCAAGTGATTACATAATTTTTTGGACTAATTCAATTCATATTCAAGTGATTATAAGCTTTTCAGATCTGATTCACTTCATATTCAAGCGATCCCAAAATTTTCAATTCTACTTTACTCCATTATGAAGTTGGAGACTACAATAATCCACTAAAGCAACAAACGGCTCTAACGTACGACCACTATTGAAGCGTTTACCTTATCTCAAAGTGAAAGATAATCTCCCTTATTACTTTATTAGTTTTTTTAAACATGTTTATTCAGAACAGGTTACAAGTTAAAATGAAATTAATGCTCAGCGAGTGGCCAAGTTGTTAGCGATGATTGCAAAAATGTCAGTAAGTTTCTCAAGCTTTTCCATTTTCTCAGCATGTCGTTTCTGCTTTTCCTCCGCGCGAGTTTGGCGGTTTTCGCACTCCATGAGGTATGCTTCCAAAAACTTTGCCTGAACATTACGGCGACTTTCCGGTGGCAGAGGGGACGAAGGATGATCTGGATTGTCGGTGGTTTGCTCGGAGCTTGTTGAAGCGGAGGATGTTGAAGGCTGGTGTTCTTCACTGGTGTTCTCATGGACAACCAATCTGCGTTTAGCAGCTGTGCTGGGGTGTGGTGAAGAGCAAGTGGGAACTGGAGCTTTGCGTTTGATGGTTGTTGGGGTCATTAGCACTTCTGGCTCAATCGAGTCATCAAGCGCAGCGATTTGCGCCATCTCATCATCAAATGCTGTCCGCATGATGGTGCTCCCGGACGTCTTATTATTTTTGGCTGCAATTTTCGTCCGCTTCAGGACATTTTTCCATCGATTCTCCACCTGTGATGGAGTGAACTCGACACCCAGCGCCTCTTCAATCTCCTGGCTAATTTTGGACCACAGTTGTTTTTTATTTTTGAATTTGTTTAATGGTCCAACCTTGTCCATGTACTTCTTGTACTTAGCGAGCATGAACTTCGTTTGTTCATCTGTCCAGGACACCACCGTTCTTGGAGTTGCAACTGGTTGATTTGATTCACATGCCGGAGATGACGATGACCCCGCCTGGCTCATTTGATTTTCGTCAGGTTCAGTCACTGGATTATGCACCGCTTGCAGACCATAATAATTGGAAACATCAGTGTAGTTTACTCCGACGATACTACCATCTGACAAAAAAAATGCAAGTTATTAATTCTAGGATAAATCCTTTGAAATACGGGGAAAGGCTTGTATTACTTTAAAAAAACCGGATAAATTTTGTTTGGAAAAGACAAGATTGCAGAAAACCCCCGAATAGTAAGGTGTTCATCTAAGGCCCGATGCACAAGTGCGGCAAATCATGCAGCGGGTTCCGCTGCAATTTAGGAATACTCGTATTCAAATGCAAATATTTGCCGCACGTGTGCATCGGGCCTAACGCAATTTGAAAATATCACGCAGCCGTACACATCGGGGATTTCCTATGCTTGCTTCAGTGTTTTTCCATTAGAACGATATGAAACAAATATTTACCTGCAATGTTTCTGAGAGATATAAGTCCATCTTGCTGTAGCACATTCCCTTCCTCATTCAGGACAAGCTGATAGTTGGACAAATCGATTTCCGCTTCTATCATTTTACAATTTTAAAATACTGAACTTCTGAAGCACTGCACAAAAATGGGCTGCTAGGATTTCGTCGATTTCTTTACTCTGACTTTGACAGTTCGAACGATTGCACTAACACCATCATACTGACTCGACCTCAGATCCTACTCGGATCGATTTTCATTCGTTTATTGAGAGTCAAAGTTGACTCTGACCCAGGTTAAAAACCGAAAACGACATAAGTGTCTCCGAGTTTCGCTGAGCTATTCAGTTCTGTAAACATGTTTTTTTTATTGTTGTTTTGATTGACAGCAGCAGGCTTCGCATGAGGTGCACCTTCATATGTTGCTGTGATGCAAAAAGTGAGAAAGCAAATGACAGTGATTTTTCTCACTGAGCAATGTGAGTTACTCGAGGTGCATCAAAAGCAACTCAGGAATTGCTCATGATTAGGAGCTGTCTTGCCCCTAAGGCACAGCTTTCAGCACAGATAAAATACTCGGCACAGATTGAGATGTGCAGAGTTGAGTACTTGTTATTTTGAATATTGTCGACCCCATTTTACATTTGATCCTTAAAATCATCCCCACCAAGATGAAGCCGAATATTAATATTGACAGCAACAGAGGCGATTATCAACATCCAGTCATGAAGGAAATTAAATTATGACTTCGATACTCAGAGGTTGCCTTGATCGAGAGAATGTTGTTATGTCAAAATTCATGCAGTTGGTCTATCTGTAAAGGTTGTCTTCATTGTCAGCTAAGTTGAGTGTAGAAGAAATGATTTTTGATTATGCATAGTTCATCATGCATAAGAGATACAGATTTGAGCTACTGACAAAAATTGTAGTTAATATCAAAACCTACAAAAGTTTCATACATCATTTTACCAAACTCTGTTGATGAACAAAGTTAGAGGTAAATGAATGCACGAAATGAATGTAAATGATTTGCCAGGTGGCATAAAATAGCAATTAAAGCTGGCTTTTTTTTTCAGTGCAGACGTTAGAAACTTCAGAAATCTGAATGTACGAAATTTATATTTTACTACCACTGAAAAAGTGCTATCTGTTGTAATATAACCCATTCATTGGATCATATCCTATTGGCAAAATTCGTCCTAGCATTCGAAGTGCAAAGTACACTATTAATCGGGTTTTAGATAACCGCCAAAACATATGACCACGTGACTCTTGAGGCCAACTCACGTCAGATCTAATTGCCAATAATTCCACCAGTGCACAGCTAATGCCAGTCGGTAAAATGCAAATATTCACCACCATAATTATACCGCTCCCGATTGCTAACAATCAATTAAGCTGGGAAAGCCACGTCACACGTTTTGCCGTCTTTTCTTTTTCCCTCGGCCGGAGCGCATGCAACCGTTCCAGAGCAAACCAGAAGAATATAAAACCATATTAAATATTTAAAGGCACACACTAAAGAAAGTCGCCTGTCTTCACCACCCCCTAGCTGGGAAAAACAAAAGTTATATCTACTCGACATATTGGAAGTGGGGAAATCGGACAGAAAAACTTAGAAAACAAAGTTGGGCATAGTATCACAGAAAAAGGATTGTAAGTAAAGGGGCAGGATTGACAACCTGTTGCTGACGGACGTTCGCGGAGGTAGTCGAACATTTTAAGAAGGGGAGGAGCAATCAACAACGAAGAAACATAAGAGTCTTGAAATACTTGCACTTGGTAAATTATTAAGAAGTTTTAATGATTTTTTCATAATGTTCAAGGAATTGTTAAAGGTAAAACATTTTAATATAAAATGGAAACACTTCCGAAAAACGTGCTGAAACTGTGCTCCTAAAATTTAGAAATCGTAGCCATCTATTGCCGAGGCATCCTGTCAAAATTTCATGACAGTCGGATGAATAGAAGCCAAGTTACTGCGCCTCAACTTACAGTCTGTTTACAGTGTGTCTCAGAATAGGTGTCACCTTTTTTCACTCTTGGTTTATTTCAACTGGGTAATTTTTACAGTGAAATTGATTATACCCATTTTGAGTGTATCCTTTTGACAGTCTATCGCTGAAGATAAATAAGCGACTCCGTTGTTTATATTTATCAGCCAACATGGAAGCCATACGCGAGCAAGTTGTGAAATTACATTTGAAAATTTTTAGACCTTGCCAGATATTCAATAACTTAAAGCAGTTCGGAGTGAGTAAGCGGTTTATATTTCGTACCTTGAAACGGTTCAAGGATACTGGGAATGTCCATATTCAACATAAAGGAGGTGCCAAACGAACTGCCAGAACGAAGGAAAAGATCAAATGTGTGAGGGAGCGAATAAGACGTAATCCGGCCGTATCTGGCCGTAAACTGAGTAAACAATTTCAAATGTCCCCTGCTTCGATGAACAGGCTCCTCAGACATGATCTGGAATGCAAGCCGTATAAGAAACAACGAGTGCACGGATTGACGGAGCGTCAAAAGCAAGCCAGGGTCCAAAGAAGCAGAAATCTCTTGGTTCGGCACGGTGACTGCGAGATTTTATTTTCGGATGAAAGACTCTTCCTCCTGCAGGACAGTCATAACCAACAAAATGATCGTGTTTATGGTAAAACTCTTGCCGATATTCCAAGAGATAAACTAGCTGTAGAGCGCTATCAGAATGTATCGAAAATCATGGTATGGGGCGCCGTTTCACGAAAAGGAAAACTTCCTCTTCTTTTCATAGAACCTAACGTAAAAATCAACACTGAATATTACATTGAGCAGGTTTTGAAGAACCATCTGCATCCTCATGCTTCAACGCTGTATGGGAATGCTCCATATTGTTTCCAGCAAGACTCAGCTCCAGCTCACAAGGCAAAGAAGACACAAGCATGGTGCGCGGAAAATTTGCCCGATTTCATCACAAGCGAAGAATGGCCTGCATCTTCACCGGATTTCAACCCACTTGACTTCTTTGTTTGGGGTTATATGCTTCAGCAAATAGGCCCTACGAAGTGACTTACTTTAGATCGATTCAAGAAACGTTTGGTTGATATTTGGGACCAAATTCCTCAGGAAATCGTGCGTGCCAGCTGCGATGGGTTT